CAGCTTTTTTTTCGTCTGATTTTGATAGTTAAAGGCGAAAATTGACTAAAATTTAACTTAAGGTCTTTTTGTTTTTAGAATGATTTTTTTTGGATTTTTAATGAAATGTAAAAAGAAAAAATTTGGAAATGATTGAAATTATATTTTAAAAAGTTAAAAAATTAAGCTTATTTATATAAATATTCCTATATACCAAAAATAAACTTAAATAGTACATTAAATCAATATTATTTTAGCAAATCAGTTTAATCTGAAAGTTTAGTTCATTGAATCAATAATATCATTATTCTTAAGAAATGATAAAACAATTGTTTCTTAAAAATAATAAAACTATCATCCCTTAGAAATGATAATGCTATTATATCTTAAGAACAATAAAACTATCATCCTTAAGGAATGATAATACCATCATTCCTTAAAAATAATAAAATTGTTGTATCTAAGAAATAATAATACTATCATATCTTAGAAATGATAAAATCATTATATTTAAGGTATGATTAATACATCATTCTTTAGGAATGATAAAATTATAATACTTTAGATATTATTTTTAAAGAATGATAATACCTATTATACCTAAGAAATAATACAATCATTCCAATTAGATGTTAATCAGTTATAAATAAAATAGGTCAAATTTTAATATATATCAATCAGCTATAAGTATAGCAATCAGTTATAAATAAAATAGGTTGAATTTTAACTGATTCTTAGCTGATTTCTGATGTATATCAATCAGCTAAACTGATTTTTGATAATTTGTCAAATTTAGGCTGATTTTAGGCTGATTTTTGCATGTTTGATTTTTTTTGATTTTGACCAGTGAAATTTGATTATTGTAATTTAGAATATAATTATACTTATTTACAATTTTATTAATAGTTATTAATTATTAATTTTAAATAAATTATATTAATTAAAAAATAATAATTTATCTTTTTTGTATTATTATTCTTGATTGATGTAAAATTATATTTTTACTATGATTAAAAAAAAGTTTATTAATATAGTATTTTATTTTTTCAAATTATATAATCTTTAATTATATTAAAATTTTATTCTTTAACCTATATATTAATAAAATTTTCATAAGCTTTCTATAAAGAAAATTTCTTTCAGAAAATAATAATGCTGAATTATTATTATCTTTAAAAAATCCTATTTTATTATTAGATAAATTTTGTTTTTTATCATTTCTAATATAATATAATCAAATAAATTATTAATATTTAATTACTTTATTTAATTCTAATACTTAAAATCTAACTATTTTAATTTTATAATTTATGCTCTTTATATTCTAATAATAAAAATATTATAAAAATACATCTATTATTAATTCTTTATAATAGATAAATTATATTCTTTATGATTTATAATTTTAGCATATATAATGAAGTTATACTATATTTTTAGAAAAATTAATTAAAAGTAAGTATTATTATATTATTAGTAAAATAAATAAATTTAGAAATTAAAGTAATTTAATATATATAAAATTGTTAAAGATGAAAAAAAAGTAATTTGTAAAAAAAAAAAAATAATAATAAATCATTAATGATACAATTATTTTTCATTAAAATTTCTAATAAATATAATATTATTTAATATCATTTGAGATTATTTATATTAAAATCCAGACACATAATATTATTTGATATAATTTATAGTTTTAAGTAAATTAACTTTAACTTATCTAACCTAATTTAATTTCACATTATAAATAATAGTAACAAATTATATGTATAAATTTTTCGATAGTAATTCTAAAAGTAAAATATCAATTATATGAAATAAATAATAAGAAGGATAACAGTAAATCATTAATTAAAAGTATAATTTTTAATTTTAATATTAATTAATTTAATTAAAATCAATTTATAATTAATAATAATTAAAGTAATTGTATTTTAAATTTTAATTATTTAAAAAAATAAACAAATTCTAAAATATATTAGTAATTTATTTAATACTAATTTAAAATATTATTAAATTTCTAATAATAATAATAAAATTTTAATAAATTAAAATTTTTTATCAACAAATTTTTGATTACAAAAAAAAAACTTTATAAAAATGCAATAATTTTTTTAATAAAAATTTAAAAAAGATATATATAGTTTAATTTTTAATAATTATAAAATAATTACTAGAGAAATAGGAACTATTGTTAAGTCTGAAACTTTATTCAGACTTTTATACAATTGCAAGAACTAATCAGTATTGATTTAATTATTGAACAGGTGGATACTGAGACGTATATAATCTTATACTTTATTTTAGACTAATAATAATTATTACTAAATAATAAATATTCAATGTTAAACTTTTTATAAATGTATGATTTTTATAATTAATATTTTATTTCTAGAAAAATATATATATAAAATAAATTTTATTTTTTTTGGATAGAAATTTTTTTTATAATTTAATTATTTATAAACAATTAGCTAATTATGATATAGAAATATTTCATATGAGAAGATTTTAGAAAAATTAGACTTTAGAATTTTTTAATTTTTATTGTATTTTAAATTTGATATTATTAGATTAAAATATAATAAAGTTTAATTTTAGTAAAAATTCTTAGAACCTGATTTTCCTAGTAAACTTTCCATATGATCCGTAATGTGATTTTACATTTAACTAATAATATTAATAATATAAGATTATAACTTGAAACATTTCTTTTGAATTTTTTAATGAGTTGCATATTAAATAAAATAAAAGAATAGTATTGATTTTTACCTATTTCTCGGGACAAATTTAGAAATTTTACATGTTGATCAATTTATGTTGGGTCGATCTTTACGCGTATTGAGCCAATAGGGATAAAAGAACTTTGTTATTATCAGTCGGCCATCATCTTTTTTTTACAAGATGGACAAGAACCAACAAAATAACAAGTCAAAAATTCCTCAATTAAGAATGTCAAAACTACCTAGTAAAGTGCCAGCAACCGGGAGTATGCCTCAAATGAAAAGTCGAGAAGTTACTATGACAGCAAGTACAAATAACCGTGGTCCACAAAAAGTTACATCAAAGGCCAGTCAAGAAAAGAAATCAGCTGCAACATCAATAGCTCCTAAAACTTCAAATGCTACTAGTCGAAGATGGGCACCTAGTTCTTCTATAAAGAATTCAAATATAAACAGAACTATAAAAAAAGTTCGTCGTCCAGATCCAGTTGCAAAACTTGCAACTAAAAGTATTACAATCGCACAAGAAAAGCCGAAACGAACTATTAATAAACCTGTGTTAAAACGAGCAATAGGTAAAAACGTGATGATGAACAACGAAAGACTAAGAGTTCCTCAAAAAAAGCTAGTAATGTCAGCTCCTACCCTTAAAAGAAAGAACGAAGGTGTTCTAGTTGATCGAAGACGAGAGGTTTTATCCACGCGTGAACTTAAAGAATTTAATAAAATGCGTGAAAGATATGCTCATTTAAAAGATGATATTGGAGCAGCTGAAATTACAAAGGCTCTTGCAATTGCGGGTAGAACTTCACTTGTATCTGAAAAAGAACGCCTTAAAAGAGAACATAATGCACAATTCGTAAAAGTATGTCATCTAGAACATGTTCTGGCATGTGAACAATCAAAGACGACAAGTTTGCTTGACCAAATCGCTAAGCGCCAATCAGATTACTTTTTGATAACTCGGGAGAAAGAAGATCTAATCGTAAACCTAACTAGACTAGAAGAAAAAAACAATGAAGCAGATAAAGAACTTGAAGAACTAGAAAAGGACTTAGCTATTAGTGGCGCAGAACTTGATGAAGTCATAGCAAAACTTGACGTGAAACTCCGCGCTAATGCTGAACTTAAATCTACTGTGGATCAATTGAGGCTTTGCAACCAATTATAGAAAACAAAATCAACGCAATGTTATTTCTTTTATAGTTTTTTAAATTTAAGTTTGGAAACTTAACATGTATGGTATGTGGATAAAAAAAAATGTTGCATATCAAATCAATTGCATCATCTGAATTTAATTAACGTCTTTTTTTGTTAGAATCAATTATAAATCAAAAAAAAGTAGAAAACAAAACCACCGCCGATACGAAATAAATAACATTTTAATCGGAATCGACCAGAGGGTTCGTTTCTGACAAAGCCTTAAGTAATTGATCTCTATTACAACTAAATGTAATAATAAAAGTTATACAACACTTTTCCATATAGACGTAAATGATGCTGTGATTGCATCTATGTGATCATAACCTTACCCATATAGTCTTCTAGTTTATATGTTATAACTTGTTTATAGCTAGGTTATCTTGCGTAAACTATATTTTACAGTCGGTATAATTACGTGAAAATCAGATCAGATTTTCACCATATTTTCTATAAGATTTTCTAGCTTTTTATTTATTTAAAATATTTTTTTAAAAAAAAAAAAAAAAATTTATTGAAAATTATTAGTTAAAAGTAAATTTACTAAAAAAAATTATTTTAGCATTATAGAGACTCAAAATTTTCTTATTGTGTTTTACTATTATTATAAAAAATTTAATTATTGTTTAATAAATAATTAATTATTAAACAATTATGATAAAAAAAAAATTTATTTTTAAATAATTAATCCGGAACATAGCGAAGGACTACTATTGTCTAGGCTCTATAATGAAAATGTCCTGCTTGCTCAAAATTTGAGTCTATACGTGGTTGGTCCCGCAAATCAGAGATATCATCAGGGGTCACAAAATAATTCATGTGTTATCTATAACATATAAAAATATAGAAATTTAAAAAAAATTTCATTTTATAAAATAACAAAATTGGCTTAATTTTTTAAAAACTTTCGAAAAAAAGGAAATGTATAGTATAAACATAATTGACAATACGAAAATATAAAACGAATTCGAGATTATAATATGTATAAATATGTATCCATTACAAATCCTCAAATTATAAATCATTAACCACAATATTTACGCTTCCTAATAATAACAATAAAAAAACACCAATGTTTAGTAAATGCCATTTTCAAAAAGCTAACTTTTATTTTAACTAGGGTTTATTTAGCCATGAATAATACCTTTTAATAGTAAAAATTTATTAGTTAATATTCGAAAAATATCAATGATCTATCTATAAAAAATTTCCAAATACGAAATATTGATATTTTCCCGGAAAATTCAACTCCAGTAGTAAACGGGGAATTAAAATATTAATACTTTTTTTTGAGCAATTGTATACTTAAGATGAGGCATTAAGGAAGGTATGAGAGCTTATATATCTTTTTCTTTGACATAAATTCTAGAGAATTTAAATTATTAAATCAATTAGTTGTTTTCAATACTTCCTTACGTAGCTATTAGTTCACATGATAAAATAACAATAATGAGAGAAAGAAAAGGTCGTTCTCATTACACTTCGCAGTTGGTATTCATTGAACAAAATATAATTTCTAAAAAGAATATTTCATGTCTAAGTTGTTGATAGCGACTATAAAAATTTTCTTGGCTAAAAGGGGTTGTGGGAAGTTTCGACGGTACCATCGGTCGAAAGTCGAAGTTATTTATTAAATAAAACAACTCTTTGCCCCTGCTACATTCTAAAATATATAGTTTGTCTTAATTCAAAATGTAAAATGTTTTGTCCGAATATTTATGATGCCTAATCAGTAAATTTATCTAATAAAAAAGGGGTACGCAAGGCCCGTCGAATATAATATTTTAATCCATTTAAGTTTTTTTTAATCAAATTAAATTTTATTTATATTATAAAAAGAATAAATTTTGGCTGATTCATTTATGTTGACATATTAAAGATATTCGGGATATTGTTTTTGATAATGTGATTTTTTTTTTTTCGGGATCTTCGAGATTATAAACTTTGGGATCAGGAGTTCGTACCAGATCCATTAAAAGTTTATACATAAATTCATACTGTTATCTAATCAATTTTTATCCAAATCAAGTGAATTTTGCAGACAATTTTGGAATTTTCGTCTCTGCTGTGGTTCAGAAGACAACGTAAAAAATTTGAAGTTGCCGTCCCTTATTTAAAGGAAGTTATGTTTTTCCCATTGTCGATGCTGAGTTAACCAGTGTATGTATTTATTTGGTTATAAAATAAAAGATATTAAATAAAATAAATCAATTTTTTTTTTTTTGTAGCCATTAATGGAATGGTAAAATGGATATTTGACATGATAAATTGGTGAAAATCTCAAATTTTAATTTTACTGCTACCGGACCGGAAAAAAATAAAACCATTGATGGCGAAGATACCGGCAAAGAAGTAAACCAGTTGGTAAATAATATACACTTGAATTCGTTTTTGGTTAATTCTTTATCAATAAAATATTTGTCGTTTGTCTTTTTAAATATTATGGAAAAATTAATGATCTTTCTATCGCTAAACGGTTACATTCAAACATTCTCTCACCTTTGAGAATATGGTAATAAAACATATGGGAAAAAAATAGATCTTTAATTTAGTTTTTTCTCAAACCTTTATAATGTTACCAATAAAGAGACGTTACATTAAATCGTTTTCATATTAAAAATGGGCTACCGGCTTGTGTAATTGAGAAATTTTTCGTTAAAAAAAAAAAAAATAAAAAAAAATCAGTAAACTGATTAAGTAAACAATAAGTATTTTGCCATTGCTATAACCAACCAAAGGATGATTTGTCTTCGCAAGGGAAAAATAGCACGAGGACTATAACCAACCAAAGGATGATTTGTCTTCGCAAGGTAAAAATAGCAAGAGGCCTTTCAATACAATAAGAGCGTTTAGTAGTCACGAAAGATCCACACTTATGCGTCATCAGTTCTCCGAACAAGTGAAAGCATGTAAAGGCCATGCAATCCGGAAGGAGTACCTCAGCAAAGGGACGGTTTGACATCGTCGTTAGATTGTAGAACGAGGAAATACTTATATTTTATCATAGTCCGCCGGTTCTTATAACATAGACAGGTAAGGGACAACCCAGTTTGATACTTCATGCAAGTGAGGAACTATTTTTTCACACTAATAAAGAAAGTGTAAAAAATAATCAGTATAACCGAATAGGTAAACTTAATAAGTATTTTGGCATTGCTAAAACCAACCCAAGATTGATTTGTCTTCGCAAGGGAAAAATAGCAAGAGGCCTTTCAATACAATAATAAAAGCGTTTGGTAGTTACGAACGATCCACACATGCGTCATCAGTTCTCCGAACAAGTGAAAAACATGTAAAGGTCATGCAATCCGGAAGGAGTACCTCGGCAAAGGGACGGTTTGACATCATCGTTAGATTTAGAACGAAGAAATACTTACATTTTATCATGGTCCGCCGGTTCTTATAACATAGACAGGAAGAAGGAATAGGGGACAACCCGGTTTGATTCTTCGTGCAAGTGAGGAACTCTTTTTTCACACTAAAAAAAGAACATTAAGGGCGGCGTTTGGTGGAGAAGAAAATTATTTTTTTTCTTGAAGAAATAATAAACATTTTTTTTATGTGGGAGACTTGGTACAAAAAAATTTTCTACTTTATAGTGAGAAAAAAGGAGATATAAAGGTGCTTTAGGAAATTTTTGATTGCGTTGAATTTCTATTTTAGGAAGGTTTTGGTTTATTCACTGAACATTTCCAGTAATAATTAATATGCAAGTCGATTAGAAATTTTTTAATGATTAAATTTACCTACCAACTTTACTAAGATCGATGGTAATAAATAAATAAATAAAATAATATGTAAATTTGTAGAATAATATTATAAAAAAAAAAAAATAAACTTAATAATAATTAATTAATTGCCGGTTTTAATATATTATTATACTTTAAACACGTATCAAAAATAAAAAAAAACCTTAATTAAATTATAGTTCGTTTAATAATGATAAAAAAGTTTAAATAAAAGAAGCTTATTAAGTTCAATAAATATATCACCTGAATCTGTTAAAAGTTTATCAGAAGTCTAAATAATGGTATAAATAGAGTTTTGTTTATATTGTCATTTGGAATTCATCCAACTTTTTTTTTTCTTTTGAATACAAATCCTTATCAACATGTCAACAACTTGCAAACGTACGAAGAAAAGACTGCTCCAATCAAATAACATACAAGAAAGTGACTATAGGCAAAGTTCAAGGGAAAGCTTCCAGCCTGAGACCGATGATGAATATAATGATATTGCTTCGAAAGAGGATATTGCAGATTCAATACAATTTAATAGCATGGAAGTGGAAGAAGTGGAAACATTAAATATTCGATATAGATCCAAGACTAAAAGTCATGATACACAATCGAAATCTATATCTTCAAAGTTGAACGATATTTTTCAATCTCCTTTCATGTCTATAAATTCGTCGTATGCTGCCTCATCTAGCAGTTATACAAGATCCTCAACTCCGCAACCTCAAACAATAACTGAAAATCATGATACAACTTCTTTTTGTTCGCCGGTTGATTCAAGGCATTCTACTCCTTCATGGCCTGTCGGACCAAATTCAAATGATTTTATAGGCTCTGAACAACGAGAATTTAAACAGGCAAAAATCATTAAATCGTGTAGGAAAAACAACGTGAATCACTGTGAAGAACAATCGCAACCAACTCAAAATGATGAAAAAACAGATCAGGAAGTTGAAAAGGTAGTTAATTTGTAAATCACGAGAAAATTTTTTTTTTGGTTATTTTGTACTAATCGAAAATTAAAGGTTATTATGGCGATCAATCATAAACAACGTAAACTGGGATGTGCTTATTATAATTTGGAAACTTGTAAATTATATCTTATGGAAGACATGGAAGAATCTCCGCCATACGATTTAGTAAATTTATGTAAGTCTTGAGCGATTCTTCATAAACACAATAGATTAAAAATGAAAATCAATTGATTTTGTTAATTATTATAGTACGCTATCAAATTTTACCTTCGGTTATCATAACAAATTCTTGTGCAGATGATGATTTTATCGAAGTTCTAAAAGCGCAAGGTTAAAAATTTTTTTCAGATTATTTGATCACATTTATTTACTCGAAAATTAACATAAAATTAGATGACTCTATTCCCTTTGAAACTGAGCTTGTTATTCGACCAAGCTCTGAATTCTTGTATGTTTCAGCAAAGACGAAATTATTATCGATTCGTTTAGGCGTCCAAAACCATGTGAATTCAATTATCGAATCCGATAAGAGAGAGATGTACCTTAAATTATCAAGTATTTTGAATATGGAAAGTGTTGAAACTGTAAGTACCAATTTATTTTTTAAAATAATTGAACTTAATATAAAGCAATAACATATAAATAAATTTTCAATACAAAGATATGCTGTGCTGGCGCGTTAATAGGTTATATTTCAAGGATCGAATTAACAGGTGGATTACAAGTAGAAGTCGCAGGAATTGAACAATTCTCTTTGTATGATTAATAATATGTTTAATTAAAATGTTATTATGCTTGAACGTTATTTATATTTTAAGTTTAAATAGGAAACGATTCTTGCATATAAATGCAGACGCATTGTGGTATTTATACTTTTCATTTGACACCTAATTGAAAATGAAACATTAAAAAAGTTATTAAATTTTTTTTTTTTAGCTCGCTCCAAATCTTCGAAGATGAATCGCATCCAAACATGCATATGCAAGCGAAAAACAAAGAAGGATTATCTCTTTTCGGTAGGCTCTTATGGAATTTATTCGTTTTACTTTACAATAAAAAAATTATCATTTAACTATGATGACATAAAAAGGCATCCTCAATAATACACGAACTTCACTTGGAAAGAAAATGTTTAAGCAATGGTTCCTTAGACCGACTCTTGATCTAACTGTCATTGGAGAAAGACAGCATACTATCGAACATTTTTTAAAACCAGGCAATTTGGAATATGCAGAACAATTGGTTTCTTGTCTTAAAAATATAAAGAACATTCCAAGAATTATTGATAATATGAAAAGAAATATGAAAGTCAAAGATTGGCAATCCTTGTTGCAGGTTGTAACTATACCCAATTTGCGTTTATGCATTGCGAGCGCAGCAAATAAATAACAATAATTATGATAGTTTGCCTTTTATTGCCTAAAAATACGTAATATCGTACGTGAATCAAATCAAAGCGAAAACATACCAATTTTTACCAAGGTATAGTACATACATAACTATAATCACAATTTTAATTGGTATGCTATTAAAGAACCTTTGCTCTTTAAACACAGATTAGAGAAACTTTCGTAGTATCCGATTTGAAAAACATTGGATCATATATAAATGATGTGGTAAATCCATAAAATTTACAAAATATAAAAATATAAATCGATACGATAATAATTTTTATTAATATTCATAATAAGGTTGATTTCGATGAGAGTGTCGAAGAAAATAGGATCGTAATCAAACCACACATCGACGAGGTAATCTGTAGTATCCATTTTTTTTTTTCCTTTTACGAATGAATAATAAACCAAATAAAAAAATTATAGAAACTTGATTATATGAAAAGAACTTATGACGGATTAAATGAACTTTTGGTAAGTTTTTTTCTAAATAAAGAAATTTCATTTATTTATTCGTTATTTTTTGATATTCTAATTAACTTTTCAATAAAGTCTGATATTGCACGCGAAATTAGCACAAATATACCCACTGAATTTTCATCCACGTTGAATGTAATATATTTTCCTCAATTGGGATATCTCATTACAGTTCCATTAAAACCCGAATGGAAAGAAGAAGAAGATTTTAAAATTGATGGATTATATTATCAAGTAAAGATCATAAATATTTTTATTTTCCTGTATAGGTGACAAATTATTCTTTTTAAAGATAATAAATTTTCTTTATAGTTCAGTACGGCTACTACTGTCTATTATAAGAATGACAAGATGAAAGGTAATATTGTATAAATATAAATTAAACAAGATATTAAAATAGCGAGATTACCTAAATATTGTAAAATATCAGAACTCGACGCATTTTTTGGAGATATACATGGACTTATTGTTGGTAAAGTTTGCGTATAATAATATTGTTTGATTATGGAATAGTCAAATTTTATTTAACCAATAAAAATAGATCGAGAAATTGAAATAATGCAAAAACTTCAAGAGCATATATTAGAATATGTCCCGTTATTATTAGACGCTACAGAAGTTTGCGCAGAGCTTGACTGGTAAGAATAATGCAAATTATCATCAGGCAGGTATAAAGTAGTAACATGTTTTTTTTTTTAGTTTACTTTCGTTAACGGAATGTGCAAGAAAATACAAATATTGTCGACCCCGTGTTGTGAATGAGAATGTTCTAGAGATCGAGAAAGGAAGGTAAATTAAAAAGGACAGGATGCATATTTTAAAATTCAATTCAATAAAATAATACATTTTATTTCACAAGGCATCCTTTACAAGAACTTTGTGTCGATGTTTTTGTGGCCAATGACACAAAAATTGCTGGTGGAAATGGTATAACAAGTGAAAATGATAACATGACAGATGATCCTACAACGAGCTCTGAAAAGGTCGCATATAAAAGTGTAATGCTGCTTAGTGGTGCTAATTTCTCTGGTAAAAGTGTATATTTGAAACAAGTAGCGTTAATAACTTATATGGCACATATTGGAAGGTAAAATATATTTCAAAGAATAATGATAAAAATTACCTAACATGAAGGAAAAGAAAAATATTGATATTTTTTTTAAAGCTTCGTTCCAGCAGACTCGGCTACTATTGGCTTAACCGACAAAATTTTTACTCGTGTTCAGACAAGAGAAACTGTATCAAAGGTAACTTGTAACGCATAATTCTGATAGATCTCTTAACGTAAACTTACACCGTGCTTATACTGCATATACAAAGATTCAAAGCGCGTTTATGATAGATTTGCAACAAATATCAATCGCACTTCGTAACTCAACATCAAGGTCATTGTTGATATTCGATGAATTTGGAAAAGGAACAGGTTCGACAGGTAATGATTTACAATAACCTAATCGTTATAATCAATATCATCAATATAATAAATAGCATTTAAACCAAAATTTTACGTTATCTAGATGGAGCGGGGTTATTCTGTGGTGTGGTAGAATATTTGTTAAATCTCGGAAGAGATTGTCCGAAAGTTATTGCCGCAACACATTTTCATGGTTTATTTATTTTACAATTAATTGTTAAATTGATATTAAACTCAGGTTTAATTTCGAGGTTTCTAAAACATTTATTTTATATCAGAAATATTTGAAAATAATATCCTTTCTCAAACCTTACCTATTACATTAAATACGATGGAAATCATGAAAGAAGATGAGCAAGAAGAATTAACTTTCCTATACCGGTATGAAATTGTCAAGGTAATTAATTACATAATAAATGCAATTCTAATAATAATTATTCAGTCTTATGCCAGGTCGCAGCACTTCTTCTTGGGGAACATTTTGTGCAGCTCTTGCAGGTGTACCTTCTCCTGTAATTAAAAGAGGTGAAATCATTTATTCAATATAATATGTAAAGTTATGTTCATTACTCATTGATATATAAAAATATATGAAGCTTCTCATTTATCACAACTTTTTGCCCGATACGAATCTATTCCATCACCTTTTGATGATGATCGCGAACGTCGAGCATATGCCACTCGTGAAGAAGTGGCTAGAAAATTTGTGAAGTTGGATTTCGTAGAGGATGAAGACCTCGAAATCTTTTTCGAATTGGTGGATGAATTGACTAGATAGGTGAAGATAAAGTTAAAGGAACGTTTTATGAAAGGAAATTAATGAATTCACCTACTGTATATTAGCATTGATAAAAAAAATATGCTATCAGATTATTTTGTTATATAAACAATTTAACTATTAAAATTACATAATTCAATTAAATCTCTTTGTATTATTTTATCGATAGGTTTTGATAATAAAAAAGCGATAGGTCGCCTTTTGTCACCACCCAGTGATATCAAGTCTTTTCTTATTATTGTCATTTGCCCGTTCTAGAAAATTTATCCATCAAAGAAATTTAGTTTTTGATAAATTTATTACTTTGTATATAATTATGCCTATTCGAGACCCGATAAGGTGTGAAATTATATAATTTTATACATTTATGTCTATTGTCATAGAAAAACAAACCGATTAGTATTTAATGATACAAAATTACAATCCATCCAAATATTTCAAATTGCAAACATTTTTTGCATTGCTTCATAATGGAGAAACTCCTATACGGTGTCCAATAAAGCGCCTAGCTAGTATTGGAGAACGAACATTGTTTAATCCCATATATAATAGTCTGATTTAAACTATTAATATAGCAAAGAAGCCCTATATACAACTACATACCCGGTGAATGCAAAAGTGATCTAAAAGCCCTTAATCGAGATATTGATTTTCTTTCAAGCCAACCTTTTTCCTCTAAACTTTTTTATTTTGACCTTTTTTTTTATAAATTTTTCTGTCACACCTCATCTTTTTATTTTCTTTTCAATAATGTTTTCGAAAAAAATTTATTATTAGTATTTGGGTTTTATAATTACCAAAAAACAAGTGTCCTATATGTATGTTTTGACGCAATTTAACATACATAAATGACATTTATATGGGGCATGCTGCAACAAAACAAGACAAAGTGAGCATATGGAATAAAACAGCCAGAAAACTAAAAAAAAAAAATTCAAATCTTACCATATTCATTCATCACGAATGAAGTCATGAGGAACCAATCCTGGTGTCGCGACTAAAGAAAGTTCTTTTACAAGGTTGTACCTTGTTTGATTAGATGAATTACGACGAAACGGAGGAAGGGGCTGACGGTCAGCAGCTAGAACAATCGATGCTCCAGACAGAGCGATGTTTGCAGATGCATTAGTGTCCCTTCCTCGTGTTGTGTAATTTAACTTTCTTGCTGGGCACCGAGGATGAACGCATTCTACTGCACCATGGAGGCGAACAGTCCGCTCTTTTCCATTAATGTTCCTGCGGGCGTGATGAAGAATAAGTTTGGAAAAGCAATATGGGCAAATCTTCGAGGTATTGAACTCATTTACAATTGCTACATTTCCATAGTTCCTGTGTTGAGCTCGAATTTTTTTCATTCCTCGTTTAGCATACCCTTTTATACAACTATTAACCCCTTGCCAATGCCCAATGCATTGGATCAGCGTAGGTTTTGGTGAATTTGAAGGAAGTTGAATATGTGCACAAATGTGTTTCCGTTCTTGCGCACATATTTTGCCATAAACCCTTTTAGTCTGAGTCTCTCGCTCCCGGTTTTCTTTTGCTTGTTTCCTCTGTTAAACCTCCTTATCTATACCTCGCTTTTGTTGTTGTTCTCATTTTTTTTGATGCTTCTTCGAAAAGGTTACTTCATTAATGAGACCAGCAGTGATTTTGTAGGGTTTTGGAAGATGTTCAACATTAAAATTATAGAGTGTAAGGTCTGGATTATCCTCATTATCTTCAGAGCTATCTTTATAAGAAGCAAGGATATTAAAATGGTTTATATCGGCAAGGATTGTTTCGAGAGATCTTGGTGAGGTGACAGATGTTATGACAGTACCCGGGTCTGTTCCCGAAAAAACAATTTTCTGCTCTGAAGAAACATGCTCTATGATTTCCAGAAGTAGGTCCATCTATTTTTGGGATAGACACAGAGTTAATATTAATCTAAGCAAATAAAAAGATAATACTATATAA